GACAATTGAATTCTTTGTTAAATTGCATTAACTCATTACGTAATCGTATAAAATTCACTATCGAAATTTAACAGGATAACTCTATTAATTTTTTAGACTTAACTATTACGAAGACGCAAAACAAATTAGATTTTTTCATTTACCACAAAGCGTTACACGCGGACACAGTCATACATAACAGCTCAAATCACCCTGATACACACAAAATGGCTGCATTTCACTCTTTTATACACAGACTTCTTAATACACAGAAAATTACAACAAAGAACTTAATATCGTTAAATCAATTGCACTGAATAACGGCTACAACTCGTCCATTATGGATAAAATTGTAAATAAAAAACAGACCCAGACAACAGTAAACTCTATTTATCCGAAACCCAATACAGAACATGAACAATTTAAAGCTATTACATACATAGGAGAACAGAGTTAATAATGTTTCACAACATTTATCAAAGTGTGATTTAAAAATAGCTTTCAGAACTAACAATATAATAGGGAAATTTTTAAAAAACAATAAGGCGAAATGTCCAAAATCTCAAAAATCAGGTGTCTACAGGTTGAAATGCGGATCTAGTCCTAAAATTTCTATTGAATGTGGATCCTTCAAGAAACGCATTGACGAACATAAAAGAGCATTTAAAACCAATAGTCTAGATTCTAATTACGCTACACACTTAAACACAGAAAGACACTTTTTTCACGACACTTTTGATATTTTACATACAGCCACAAAAAGTAGCCACGGAAATTAACAAAATGAGACATTCAGGTGTACTGCTTAACGATCAATTAGATTTAAATACCTCTCCATTATTAAACTTAAATTCTCACAACATTAATTGAGGTTTTAATGTCATTTTTCGGTATATATAGTAGCAGGTAGTTTGTAAATATTACATTTGATAAAGACACAGTGTTGTCGAAACAATTGTCATGTAAAAATATATAATTTCGTGAATATCTGAACTTTTAGTTCTAATTTATTTTCTTAAATGGATTTTCATCAAGTAAAAGTCACCTCAGTTCAACTCTGGGTTTGAAGAGTATCAATATTGAAGCGTTAGCTATAATACTGTAATTGATCTGATATCCATTATAGATACTGATATGCGCCTTTGAAGTCAAAGATCTTAAAACTACTTTCTGAACGGCTTCGATGTTATCCATATGTAGACCATACCACGGATGCATACTCCATACCGCCAAGCCGGTAGTGTTTACTGTTGGCTAAGTTTGGAGGGTAGAGAGGTTGTGGCATCAATTCATATTTCAATTTGTGGACTTTGGACATGACAACAATCGACGAACCCGCTAGTGCGTTATCGCGATGAAACAAAATTTTTTGCACCTTGTACGCTCTATTTCATTACATTTCTACATAGTATCATTATTAATATGCAAAATATTAAGTATAATAATAACAAAGTATAAGTCACTTAAAAAATCGTCACTATCGCTACTGTCGTCACCTAGTTCAATGATCACCTCCCCCACTAATCGGTCTCGGTAAATATTTTCTTCTTTTATCACTCGTTTTTCACAGTTAGACCAGCTTTGTACTGATATTTTAGCTACCTCTTGCCGAATTAGGCTTATGGTACTATCACAAAATTTTGGTGCTGTGGTATTTCTTCTTATATGCGCTTTCAACTCGAACCAAATCATCTCAATCGGGTAAAATATACAACGATATTTTCAATAATTGCAAAAGTTGTTTTTTCGTGTATCTCTCTTTAAAATATAAATCATTTTCGTTTAGAAATTCTTTAATTTCTTCTTTATTTGAAAAAGTATTTGGAATTTTTCTAATCTGGCCTAAATGATACGAGGCATTATCCAACACAATAACAGTATTTGGAGATAGTTTTGGCAACAGTTTACTTTCATTCCAGTCCTCAAATATTTCCGCGGTCATGTTTTCATAGTAATCCACACTTGAATCTGACAAAAATAAGGTATCTTCCACTCAACTCAGCATGAAGAATTGTTATGCGTTTTCCATGTGAAGGCGGGGCGTCTAGTACACACTTGTCGGTGTTATCACACCATTTTTTTTACATTTTTTGCATTTAAATAATCCATCCTCCATTGCGAAATTCTTTGAGATTCCATTACTTCTTGACGTTTATTAATTGTTTGGAATTGAAAATCTTTGGCACAACTAATGTGTAAGTCTGACACTACTTGTTTATACAGTTCTTCTAGGATTAAAACGCCATTCACTTTATAAGTGTCGGAGATTGTACTCCTAACTAGATCTGTGTCTTGCTCTTTAAAAACTCGTGAAGTACCACCATCTTCTCTCACTTTCCTCTTGAATATCCCATTCGCAACAATTTTTCTTACAGTTGTCTTCGGAACTTTGGTTATGTCACTTTTTTTTTCCGGCTCCTACTTCCCCTTCTGAATATATTAGAAAATTGTAAACATTCAAAACAATTTATTTAGCATCCGAAAATACAAAAATGTTATTAATGGTTGTTAAGATAAATGGAATACTGGTACGAATTAAGAAAGACTCGGGCAAGCTGTAAGAATGAAATATGGCAGAACAGGTCCGTACTTTGCTTAGAATTTAATTATTTGGTGTTTTCTTAGGAAATATACTAAACAATATGTATTTATGTTTAAATCTAAAATAAAATTACGAATTATTTTTATTACCTACTTAAATGTCGTTATTATACATGTAGTTTTGGATTGTTGCTTTTGTGTCACGTGAGAAAAGGGTTTAAGTCAACTGCGGTGGTGTCTTCATGGTAATCCAGGGAAGAATCTTTAATATTTTTCGCAGACAGAGAAAGTTCATTTGGAATCCAACCATCTTTAGAGCCAGCATGCAAAATAGTTATTCTTTTACCTCTTTTTGATGGTGCGTTTGTTTTACACTTATCAGTTGAGTCAACCCAACCCTTTTCCGGGGAATCATAAGTGTCGAACCAGGTTTCATCCAAGTGAATAATTGGCCTTTGTTGTTCTCTGTAAATCCTAATTTTTCCTAGATATTCCAGTCGCCATTTCCGAATTCTAAAAGATTCCATTAAAACTTGCCTTTTGTCAATTTTTTAAAATCTAAAACCCATGTGTCGAATGCACTTCCATAAGGTAGTTCTGCCACATTTAACACCGGTTTCATCTTTTTCAAGCTACTTAATTAAGATATCTAATGTAGGCACGCTTTGTTCCTCGTATAACTCACTTTCATCTACATTCGAGAAAATGTCAGCATCGCTTCTTTTTTTCCTCGCCGCAATGGGATTATTCACAATTTTCTATACGGTTTGTGTTGGAATTTTCGTCAATGTGGCCGTTCCTTCTAAAGATGCTTGCTTGCTTGAATTTAAATTCCGAAACTTTAGGTAATAATCTTGTTACATTGTATGTTAATGACCAACCTTGGATAATCCCATTCAAAAGCAATTGGTCACTTTCTTATATCTATGAACAGACCATACCTACCATCCAGTGAAAACAGCCTGGATCACAGTCAAAAACCTTCGTAATATATACGAACATATTGCAGTTTAAATTAAACTCTTAAGAACGGTGTTAAAATAAACGCTTCTACTTATTCGAAAATAAAATCGAAAATCAAATTTAAAACGGTCCATATACGTTTCAAAAATGCGGATTAACAATCTGCTGGGATTGGTTTTACCACGAAGGTCTGCTGTTAAGGTACTGTAAAATACTATATTTCTTGGTTTTATGGCCGACTATAGCGTTCTCTATATTTGATTTATGGTTTTACCGGTTACTTCTAATTATTTTTGCTGAATACTTTCCTATACGTATTCGAAATATTATTTTTAATTATTTTTTCTCCAAAATGTGAATAGAAAGCTACAAATTTGGTTGTGGTTTGCAAAACCAACGTACATTTAATTTATCTACATAGTGACTCACAAATAGGGTCGAAACTTTATTTTCCCAAACGAAACACCCTGTGCATTATTTGAAATCCTGACTTGTTTGTTGATGGCATGTTTTTTTCTAATTGTGGCGATTATTTTAAATAAAACGTATGCGTTGTCGCTGGCCGTGAAAAATTTTATTGCTTCCAATAAAAAAAATCGCTTGCACATGTTTTACAACTCAGGTGTTATCTGCGCCACTTCAAATAGTTGTGAAAATTAGCATTACATCGAGGCAAATATAAGGCGCACTTACTGCAAATTGTATGCCATTTTTGCGAAGCATGCAAATTATCGATCCCCTCCTGATTTAAAAGAGTAATTTGATTAGATTGGTTTTAGTTTGAAATAAAAAAAATGTTTTTAATTAATGTGTCAATTTTGTTAACGCAAAATGTTGCCGTAAATTGCAAAACTACAGATATTTACGAAAAAAATTAAAAAAAAAAGAATAAGTTAAGAGCCGAACGACCAGTGGCGGCGGAGATTTTTAAAACTGTTTAGAAAGCCAATGATTCAAATTAGATAATTCCTTCCCTTTCGTTAACAGTAAAAACTATTCGGAGAGTTGCTATAGGGTGAAACTAAAAAATGTTAAATATATTTAATTTATATTCAGTACAAGTTTTACTCTATGCTGCACCGAAAGTCTCAGAACGTCATCGTAATAGATATTCCAAGGACGTATCCCTGTGGTACCCCACATATCCATCCTTTTTCCCTCATGTTTAGTCACCTTCTTCCAGTTTCAGTTAATTTCTGAACAATCCATAAACCGACACAGGAGGAATCCGGAATTTTTGTATATAGTATTAAAGTAGCTTGTTTTCCTGAAAAAAAAAATTATCTTCGCTAAAACTCGTGGTCATCTGCATCACATCTCAACAAAAATAGTTTCCCATTTGCAGCAAAAACCGAGTGAAACTTTTTCAGATGTCTGTGGTGTGAAGTCATCGTTTATGTAAATCTTGCTTTTACCTTGCATACCACAGCTTTCAGCTTTCATTCCTCCCGTTCCTCTGATTCGAACCTAACATGCTGATGATTTTGAGTCAATTTTTTTGTTGCTTTTCGTTTCAGATGGATGGGCGCTGTTGCCCAATCGATGTACATGTTCGGGGTGTTCACTGGGGCGGTAACACTCGGCAACATGGCCGACAAATACGGTCGTAAACCGATATTTTGTTGGTCCGCTGTGCTGCAGCTGATGCTGGGCGTAGCGGTGGCATTCACCCCAGAGTACTACTCATTTCTCGTGGTGACTTACCTTTATGGAATATTCGGTTCCGCTGGCAGCTACATCCCAGGTTTCGTGTTGACGATGGAACTGGTGGGGCCCAGTAAGAGATCAGTGTGTGGGATTTCGTTTCAAGCCGCCTTCGCAACCGGGATGATGTTGGTGAGATTGACATTTTTTTCGTAATAAATAATGATTCCTCAAGTAGCGTCATAGATAGTCTAACGATTTTTTCATTTCGAATTTTTAACATTACTTTCGATCACCCTGTGCTAATTTATTTTTGAAATGTCAACACAGACCCCTAAAGTATTAGAAGTGTAAAAAATAAAAAAGTAACATTCGCTGAGGGACGTGACTAAAAGCTTTTTTGAGTAATATACCGATACAAAATGCAAACAAAATAGTATTTTACCTTCGTTGTGTATGGCAAATTCAAAATAAGGTCCACTTAATAAAAATACGAATCCTTACATTAAATACAGTATTCACTTAAACAAAAAATCCTGAAATTCTACAATTAATCCGTTTGTGTGACTGTTAAAATTAACGCACGATCTAACGGAAAAAATTTTGGTATTTTTTTAGAATTTTCAAAGTTTTTCGAAAAAACACAGACTACTGTAATACTGCAATTCCTCCTGCATCGGTTATTGTTTAATCGAAGTTGGCAACGTTTCACCAATCATACTGTTGTCTTCTTCATAGCTTAACTGAGATTGACAACTGACTCGAAATCTATTCTGTACCCGCTTATATAGTGTTTAAGGGGAGAGGAGCTAAAGAAGGTGCATGAACATTTCCTCTGATTCTCATATTGGTGAAAGGTAAAGACCTGAGTCGCGGTTAACATAGTTTGGTTGCTTAGAGATATCTATAGATTTTAGGATTGGATTAAAATTTTATATCCGGTTTCGTGATTGTGTGCCGATGAACTATTTGTCTTAGTCTTAAGGCTATTTCATGTTCTTTAGGCCTAATTGATATTGTTCGTCCGGTCTCTCCAATTTCTTTGCCGCATAGTCTTGGCATCTCAAACGGAATTTTATCTTTGAGGAATCGAAGATCTTGAGAGATTTTTGAACAACTGGTAAATCTGATTTTGACATTATGTTTCTAAAGAAGTTTTGATATGTGGTCAGTGATGTTTGGAATGTAAAAAAGGACAACAGTGGCAAGTGCTTTCGGGCTCTTTGGAAGGATGTAATGTAGTGAATTTATTGGAGAGAAGAGTGGATGTAAGGTGTTTTAATTCTGGGTTCAGTGACTTGGGTTGAGATAGTTTTATGGCTCTCTTGTTTTTTGCGATAATACATGGGTCAAGGACGCAGCTGGAACTTTTTACAAGAATTGATTTTTCCATGTCAAAAAGTTGGTGTGATGATACATTTACCACAGTGTTTGCCAGTTGAGAAGAGTTTGATTTCTTCATTAGTGTTGATGTTAGTTTTTTAAATTATTGAATGTGATTTTGGTGAGAAGATAAACGAAGATTTTTAGCATTATCATAAATCATGGTATCGAACTCGGATGGGAACAAGCGATTTCAAGATGTGGAGACAGAAGAGTCTTATTGTTTTGTTCTATTTCTTTCTGGGTATGAAATGATAAAAATTATAAGCGGATGAAGTTTTGACATGATGAGATATATTAAGAAAATTGGGGATAACGTTATGGTATGTGTTAGAGCCTATCGCCCCAATTTTATGCTTTAATTTAATTGCAGACGTGACAACGTCGCGCCCTTGTAACAGACAGTACGTATTAAACCGTCATGGTAGTCGGCACGCATCGCTGCAAACAATAAATGTTTCTTAAATAGTTGATGTAAATCATTTCAAGTGAGAAAGAATTTGGTCATTACCATCATGCAAAACAGTATCTACAGCGTAACAAAAAATCAGTGTACAAAGTAATCTCACCAGCTTCTTCTTTCTGTGTTTGATGTCGCCTCCATGAAGGTTAAAGAAACTTCCAGTGTATTTTATGATGGAATGCTTAATATCTATAATGCGGATGTTATTAGAGCGAAGAGCAGATGTAAGGTGTTTTAATTCTGGGTTCAGTGACTCAGGTTGAGATATTTTTAAGGCTCTGTAAACAAGGGAGTTAATAAGCGATGATTTTTGAGCAGGATGGTCACGGGATCATGCATGAAGGTAGATTTTCTGTAAACAGAATGGCCCAACGTTACGCCTGATTTACGGATTTCTTTTTGATATTGTACGTAGTAATTGAATTAAACCAGCCGACTTTCCAAAACATGGAACATATATGGTAATAATTTAGTAGAGCTTGTCATGAAACAATGAGTAGGCAGAGCCAAGATCCTCTTTTAAAATTAAAATTATTCTCCAGCGACATAGGAAATTTGTGGACTGAGGAAATTGAAGTGACACGTGGATAGCAGAACGATGGTCATCTTGCCACTACCATACAATCGTTGACAATGTTATTTCTAACCAAGTTACTGTGTGAGAGGCTCATGTGTAGTTGCTAAGCAATCTAACATGTTGATTTTGCTTATCAGTGCCTAGAAGGTCGATATATCAGACATCCGAATATCGGATGAAGTCTGTTTATATATATATAAGAAAGTGACTAACTGATACGAATTAAGGAAAGACCCGGGCAAGCTGTAAGAAATATGGCCGAACAGGTCCGTACTTTGCTTAGAATTTAATTATTTGGTGTTTTGTTAGGAAATATATTTATGTTTAAATCTAAAATAAAATTACAAATTATTTTTATTACCTGCTTAAATTACTTAAAATTATTCACACAATATATCAGTATCACTATCGCTATCATCGCCTGTTCTAATTATTATTTGTTCTATATTATTTGCAATAAGGATATATGATTGTTCTGCTTTTTATATATGTCTAACAGAATTTACCCAACTTTGTGGAAGGATGTTAAAAACTTCGGTTTCTACAAGTTTGAGGACATTGGAGTTAACACGGGGAAAAACATTGTTAGGACGAATGGCAGATTTCAGTTGGTGCCAACCATGTTCAATTGGATTAAATATACATTGCTAAGGTGGAATCCTTAAAACTGTATGCATGCAGTGCATAATTATCACAGACGTATTGCTTTTGTAGGTTCAAGCTTTGTAAAACCTCAATTAATTGCTTTTTGCTATAATCTTCGTGAAAATAAATGTCGTTATTATACATGCAGTTTTGGATTGTTGCTTTTGTGTCACATGAGAAAGGGGTTTTAGTCAACTGTCTACTGTGATAACTTACAATTACTCCATTACAATGACGCTATTAGGAGCAATGTTTTTAACTAGTTTGTTTTAAAACCAACTTTGAAATAAATGAGCGGTGGTGTCTTCATGGTAATCCAGAGAAGAATCTTTTATTTTTCGCAGACAGAGAAAGTCCATTTGGAATCCAACCATCTTTAGAGCCAGCATGCCAAATAGTTATTCTTTTATCTCTTTTTGATGGCGCGTTTGTTTTACACTTATCAGTTGAGTCAACCCAACCCTTTTCCGGGGTATCATAAGTGTCGAACCAGTTTTCATCTGTAAATCCTAACTTTTTCTAGATATTCCAGTCGCCATTTCCAAATTCTAAAAGATTCCATTAAAACTTGCCTTTTGTCAATTTTTTTCAATCTAAAACCCATGTGCTGAACACTTGCATAAGGTAGTTCTGCCACATTTAACACCGGTTTCATCTTTTTCAAGCCTCCTAATTAAGATATCTAATGTAGGCACGCTTTGTTCCTCGTACAACTGGTAAATTTAACGCAGTATTATGTACATTCGAGAAAATGTCAGCATCGCTTCTTTTGTTCCTCGCTGAAATGGGATTATTCACAATTTTCCATACAGCTGATGTTGGAATTTTCGTCAATGGGGCCGTTTCTTCTAAATACGCTTGCTTTCTGGAACCACGTTCAATGAGAGTCAAATAAACATTGTTTATAACTTCCCTAGTCTCAATAGAATAGTGTTTTCTACATTTGGGCGGGAGCATCTCCTAGACTCGCACATATTTTGCATAATTCGCACACGATCCAACACACGCTGTATTACACAGGAAATAAGAATGATAACTAATAAACTTAAACTAAGCAGTATACCAAACCAAAGAATATTAAACACAGGTAGGTATAAAATTATTTTTTATTACGGATAACAATTTTACCTGAATTTAAATAGGTAATAATCTTGTTGCATTGTATTATAATGTCCACCCATGGAAAGTCTCATTCAAAAGCAATTGGTCACTTTCTTATATCTATGAACAGACGATACCAAGTAAAGCCATTGTTTCCTTTTTCTTCGTGACAGCTCAGTCGTTTTTAGGTCGCCGCGTGGGGGGCCGTGATAAAAGACCGCCAGCTGCTCCAGGTGGTCTACGGTTGCCACGCCCTGCTGCTAGTCTTCCACTTCTGGCTGATGGACGAGTCGCCGAGATGGCTCTGGGCCAACGGCCGAGCGAAAGAGGCCGTGGACATTGTCAAAAAAGCATTGAAAATGAACAACAACCCGGTCAACCTGGAAACTGCGGAATTCGTCAGTAAGGGTAAAGCTGCGATCCGATCAGACACCGAAGAAGCCGGCATGACGGATCTGTTCAAATCTACGCGTCTTCGTACCATGACCTTGAACGTCTGCCTGTGCTGGTTCGCCAATTCCCTGGTGTACTACGGTTTATCTTTGAACACGGGCAGTATGAAAGGCAATCCGTACTTGATACTATTCCTCATGGGGCTCGTGGAACTACCCAGCTACGTACTGACGGTGTACGTAATGGATAAATACGGAAGACGTGGAATAATTGCATTCGACATGATGGTTGGAGGTGTTTGCTGTATCGTGGCTGCGAATCTACCCACGGGTAGCAATTCGGCACTCGCGTTCGTCGTTTTGGGGAAATTTTTAATAGCCAGCTCGTTCGCCGTGGTCTACAACTATTCGGCGGAACTGTTCCCGACGGTGGTGAGAAACTCGGCCATGGGTTTGGGTTCCATGTGCGCGAGGACTTCCGGTGCGCTCACTCCCCTCATAACCCTGCTGGATTCGTTCGATCCTAAGCTGCCTTCCGTTATTTTCGCGGTGGTGGCTTTGATTTCCGGTTTCCTCACTCTGTTCTTGCCCGAGACGTTGAACAAGGCCATGCCGCAGAGTATAGAAGACGGTGAGAATTTCGGAGTGGGGGATACTTGCTTTACCACCTGTTTTCGAGGTGTTATAGATGGCGAGGAGGTGATGAAGCCGACAGTGGAACAACTCCAGCCCCTTAAATGATTTTAATTCCATAACCGCTGAGTTCAGTGGGTATTTTCTCCCTCGGGTGTACTGGGTTACTCGAAGCGTACTATGGAGGGTTATCTATATAGAGAGTTGCAGTTTTGATTAGCGATACTGTGGGTGGGGAACACCGGGGTTGGTTGTGCCATTTTTAAAAAAGTAATTTTATTATTTTTTAAAGCAAGCTAACGCCGGTTCTTGTTGTTGTTTGTATTCTACAACATGTGTTCCATATAAAAATACAAACATTTGTAAATACAAATAAAAATTAAGAGGTATTCAACAAAAAAACAACAGCTAGTCTTTATGTCACAAATAGGGGTTCCTTGTGACACTGCTGGGGTTAGTTGTGACACAACTACGTACATTACATACTATTTTGGCAAATAAAGTACGGATCTTTATCTGTGCAATCTATATTAACCCAATATTTGCACTTGGTACATCGAACTCTTGTTTCCCCTGTAAGAGAATTCGAGTCATGCTCTCCACAAATCAGACAAAATGTTTCCTTGACATCTTCATCAGAGCTGCTTGATGAGGCCCTTATAGTTATCTTTTTCTTCTATATGCCCTTGCTTCTATTTGTTGCTTTCTTTTTGCAATTCCTTTTCTTGTTTCTTTTTATATTCTTCTTCTAACTCGTTCTTGTTGGGGGTGTCAGTCCAAATAGCCGCAGGGCCACATTTGTGTCCTCTTTTGGTGTTCGTCCTTTTGCCCGCCTCTGGTTCCGAAAGTATACCTTGAGGTGAAAAAGATGTCGCATAAATTTGTCACATCTACCTTACTTTTTGGAGCAATATATAGATTTAAATCGGATGTTAAGTTTGTGCTTTTGGGTACAGCACCACTTTCTACGGTTTTTGGGGAATCATTTTTATCCAATATTGGTTGGGGAGGCAATTCGGGAGACTGGTTATGATTGAACCCTCTTTCGACAGTTTCTGGATTTTTGGAAAATTTAATTGATTTCTTGGTAAAAAAAATCATGCTTTTTTTATCGGTTACATGTTTTATACATTTAAGTTTAAGATTCCGGAAGAAAGTTTCACTGTTCGTCATTAGTTTAAATAAAATGAATTTATTTATGACAGCGCTCCGGGCGCCTAGCGTCTCGAACTGCATTGCAGGACTTATCAGTGATAATTTAAAATAATTATACAAAATATTCTTATTATACAAATGTTATTATTGATTGTTATTTTATAATAATTATTATTAATACAATCTTATTTTTTTTAACAATGTTATAAAGGATACTATCAATTTTTTTATTATTTTTATTTATTTATTTATTTATATAATTTATTTATATAATCAACGTAAATTTTTTAAAACTGTTATGGTCTATATTAATTATTTTTAAATTTACTAGTCAACACTCTATCTTTAGTTAACAAAAGAAAAACCGGTCCGTTACGATTTTCATTTGATTTTCGTGTATCCTAGTTTATACGCAAAACATGAAATAATTATTAAAAATAAAAGCTGAAGTGTTGTTGACTTGTGTTTTTTTAGTTAATATTTTAGTATTATAATTTTTAATTGTAATAATAATATTTTCTGTGATTTAAAATGGGCCGAGTGAATTATGAAATTATGTGATTAAAAAATTAGTTTTAATTATTATTTAAATATAATTTTACCAATTTAGTTAATCATAAAAATGATTTTGGTGTTGATGCTGATTGGACTTCTTTCGCTACATCTCATGACAAATGAGCGTGTGATGGTTTAGCAGGGAGTGTAAAAAGACAAGCTTATCGTGCTAGTCTTCCACACGATAAAAACAAGCACATAACAACCCCACTTTCCTTTTTTCAGTGGGCCCAAAGTTATTTTAAAAAAAATACTAACCACGATTCGAACCTTTAACTAAAATAAAAAATGCTCGCCAATTCCATTATTACAAACCATTGGAAAATTTATCACTAGACTGCTCGTTTCAAAGGATGAAGAAGTAGTTATTTAATAAAAGTAAGTTTAAAAAAAATAAAAATAACTAACGACAAACTTTCAATTTAATTATTTAAGCTTTTTTGTTCTATTTAGTCTATTATGCTTGTTAATATTGTTAAAAAAAATAAAATTTTATTTAATTTAATTAATTTTATTAAATTTTTATTTATTTGTTTTATAATAATATTTTGTATTATTATTTAAAATTATCACTGATAAAATGCAGTTTTGTTTAAACTAATGACAAGCAGTAAAATTTTCTTCCGAAATCTTAAACTTGAATATGTAAAGCATTTGTGTTAAATTAAAACTTAGTTAACAATACGACAATAAACAAATAATTTTAACTCGTTAATATATTCTTAAAATATAGACATTTGACCCTGGATGCTGACAATTTCATAAATTTATCTGTTAGGGTTGATTTTTAATCCATTTTTTAATTAAAAGTGCTTAAAATTTTCATTATATAAAAAAATTGTCAAAATCAAAGTTTTAAAAAATCGTTTGAGGGATCAATTTTCCATCATAAGTACTTATAAAAAATATATATAGATATATAGATAGATACATAGTGGTAAATGCGGGGTCCACTTGACGTGATCTTACTCATATCCCACTTGCTTAACCCCCTTCCTAGCAACTATCCGATCGGGCTTTTGGACCGTGGTGATCCCATTTCATCAACATTGTAGATATCTTGAGATTCAAACTGGTGACGGTCTAATACTTCCTGTAATAGTGAAAGAAAAGTTTCGCCGTTAGTTCTATTAAAACTAGTTGCCCTGGTAAGACTTATTGCCTCAGTAGTTCTCAGAGACAGAGCGGAATGCCGTCTAAGAAACCCAATTTTATTTTCAACCCAGTTTGGACGAACTTCCACATAAGTCCTCATTAGGTATATTTCTAAAATAAATAACAAGCGAGGTAAGATGTGCCAGTCACAACCTGCCTCAAATTGATTGTCACAACTACATAAACAATATAAAAAACAAGGATATAAACCCAAACATCACCATAAACTCTGCGTGCCGTAAGGTTTATTTTGATACATACGCTTTCCCAAAAGAACCTTTGCATCCAAAGTTATTAACTATGACACTAAAATTATACTGAAGGAAGACAGAGGCAGAGAATAGGATATTTTTGAGTATTTATGCCACGTTGGCAAGTCGCCTTTAGCTGTAATGGCCACTGTCACAACCAACCCCGGTGTCCCCTACTATTTATACGTGATACTAAATATGCCGTTTCCAAAATTTTCATGCTACTTTTAGTTTTTAAGCTACGGAGCCAAATTGAAAATTTTGCATTTCCCGTGAAACTCAATTCCGCTCTCGGGATTAGTATACAGGGCCAGATCAGAAAGTAATCGAACCCTACGCAACGCAACAAAATAATACAGAAGGTATCACAACATTTTGCTAACCTTATGGTCACAAAAGAGGAGCTGAAAATTTTACAAAAAGTTCAAGTTTAACCCCTAAAAGCTGAAAGTAGTATTCATGTTCTGTCAGATCCTCAACAAGCAGTAAATGAAAAAGTTTCCTACCGCTGGAAATAAAACTAGTATACAAAGAAAAACAAAAAAAAACTTTACAAAACACGCTGTATATTTTTTCATTTTTAATAGCAGTTTAAAAGACCGATCCAACGATATATATCCTGAAAGCGTCTCTAATATGTATTTTTTGAAATTGCTCTATCGATAATAGTAATAAACAGTAACAACGGACACACCATTTCAAAAGCAAAATTAATAATTTTCGATTAAATTTTCAATAATACAATGATTTACGGCATTTAATCCCGCTCAACTTGTTTATTATGTGGATATACAAAATGTGATGTATTATTTTTAATTTTAATTTGTCGTTGTCTACAGTTTAAGCATATTATTATTATTATTATCGTATTATTAATATATAATTGGTGGCAATTAATTTTTTATTTTTATATACTATCTCTTTTAAAGTGCCCTACAAAAACAAGTCCAGTGGGTTTAAATCAGGGCTTCTTGCTGGTCTATTGTGCACGATCTATTGTCTAAAATTTTCATTCGACAATAAAGAGCACCATCTTGTTTCCAAATTAGATTTTCTATTTCAAAAATAGTATTCCGAATAAGAGGCTCAATATTATTTCTTAATAAATCTAAAAAACCTGCTGTCAGATGTTCCTTATAAACCGATCTTATACCACGTTTATTTGTCTCAAATTCACAAAGTTTATTTTCACGGCTGCAGTAATATTTTGTCGATTATGTTAATGTTATCGATGCCGCAAATATAGCTTCATGATTAAATTAAAAATAATTAAACTAAATTAAAATGATTATTTGAAATATTTATTCATTTATTTATTATCTAATAAAGAATGTTTATAATATTTAACAGTGTTTAAAATAACCAGCAATTTCATTAAAAAAACATATTAAAAATGCTTTCACAATTAAGCCAGAAAACTAAGAAATTTAAATAATTGCCTGGGAACTGATAAAAATCTTCAACAAATTCGAAACGGTGCACAATACAAAAATATGAAGATTATACAGGGTGTTTGATTACAAAAATTGAAAAAACATATTGCAAAACATGGCAACACCGCATATTTGATAAAAATATTTCAATGTTGTCTGAGGAAAAGCATTATTTCCTAAGACATTGCGCAGAAAAATGTTTTAAAAGTTAATATGATACGTAACCAAATCCTTTCCAACGAAACCTGAATTCCGAATATATTCACTAATAACGGTGCATCGATATATACATATTTATATACATCACTGAATTCGTCTTTTAAAGGGGTTTTTAAAAATGTAATAAAATATAGGGTGTTACAATTGGCGTCCACGTATATAATTGAGTGACAATTAAAATAATACAATAAAATTGAAGATCATTTTACTGTAAACAACGTTTGTATTCACTTTTCACAACTCACAGATTTCGAGATAAGGTATGGGCCACCCTGTACTTATCTACATTTTTGTACTTTTATATTCCAGACTGCCTGTATTTTTCGATTCAGAATTAACGACGGGAGGCAGAAAAAGAGCTAAAAATATTTCCTTAAATTTGAATTCGAATTTTAATATTTTTTCCCCATTTATTTGCCTAATAATTACTCGAGATATTTTTCCAAAGAAATTATGTTTACCTAAAATGAGGTTTTGCGCTGTGAAAATTTATTTTCCTCCATGAGAGACTCCATTTTCTTTAATTTGATTATAGACGGCACTTGATAAAGTTCTCGAGAAATCTTCCCAAACAAATTGTGTTTACCTAAAATGAGGTTTTGTTTTGTGGCAATTATTTATTATTTAATATTTAGTAAATTAATTTTTTTCACTAGAAACTCTATTTTCTTTAATTTAATAATAGGCGCCACCTTTACATTTTTCCCAATTTATTTGAACTATAAACTTATCGAGATATTTTCCCATAGAAATTTTGTTTACCTAAAATGAGGTTTTGTGTTGTGTCAATTATTTATAAATTAATAATTACTAAACTTATTTTCCGTCTATTTATTCTTTATTGAATCACAAAATAAAATAGGTTTATTCTATTTTAAACGGCCGTTTAGAAATTATCTTTGTGTATATGGCTCTCTGTAACAGACTCTCTGCTTATTACGGCATTTCCATAAATTGGCCCCTTGCACCATTTTATCAGAAGAGATTTATGGATTTCATCGTCTGTAATTCTTTTCCATCCGTTTGTTTAATTGGGAACTCGCTAAAAAATTGTATATATCACTTAAGATTAATGTATGGTGCGTATGTTTGAATAGCTCGTCTTAACTTAAGAAAACTATTTTTAGCTGGTTATATAAATAATTTATTATATTCTAATTTTGGTTGTGTTAATTTTTGGTTAGAATAATCTATGGTACTTATATCACTTAATATAGTCTGTTAACTTAAGAAACTATTTTTTTACTGTAATAAAAATAATTTATAAAATTTTGCTTTTTGTTGTGTGAAAATGACGAGGAAATGGTAAATACAAAACTTGCAAAGAGTGTTGGAATGCACGATTTGAAATTATTTTAAAGTATACAGGGAGGCCCAATAAAGCGAGAGGAATGAAAATATGTTTTTTTCTAATGAAACACACGAAAATTCTTCAACATTCTCTATTAATAACAATACATACCCAAACCTAATAGTTTTTCCATTATTTTAATTTAAAAAAAACTAGGTGATATTAGCGTTATTCGAAGATGACGTAAGCGATATATGCAACACAACTTGAATTAGAGTATTCAAAATATTAAGCGTGTTATATACCTACTTTTAACACTTGGCGATTTATTTTTATTTATTTATTTTACCCTTCTTTTGCCTAAGACTATTACTATAATGTTAAGTGGCCATGACAAAACTATTAGCCAATAGGGCTTTGATAAGAAGAAGAGACCTTTGTTGGACTCTTAGATAAAGCAACGGAGGGTTACTAGCAATTTTGCTGAAAATGACGGCCAAATTCTAGATTCACAGGAAAAGTAAATAATGTTACTACAAATTATGGTACAATAAATGTTCAAAAATATGCCTTCTACTTGGATACAGGTGATGCACTTAATGGTGTTATTGTCTTACACTTCTGTAGGATGATTCACATAAAGACGATCATTAACATATCCTATAAAAACAACTCTAGTCGTGTTAAGTCACATGATCGAGAGTGCCATCCAATAAATCCACCTCTACCGATCCATTGCTGCGAGGTAAAGATTATTTAAAAATTGTCCACCTTTTCGACGGTAATGCGGAGGAACTAGATCTTGCTGAACCCGCACTTGTTGGATCTCAATGCTATCAACTTCTTGAAGAAGTTGAGGCAAATCGCTCTGCAAAAAGTTTCAATAACTAGACCCGTTAAGTGGTTCGCGAAAAAATATGTTCCGATAACTTGTATATGGGTGTGTGTGCATATGTAAAGTGTATTATTTCACATCACACATTAAGTGATCAATGGTTTTGGTTAGGCATTTCTCGTACCCGGAATGGCATACATGCTTACAGGATTACTGAGAAAAGTAGCTTCATCGGAAAATATTGTTTTAGCCAGAAAAATTGGATCGGCCTCTAACGCTTCATTTATAACCATAGAGAAGTTTACCATTGGTTCAAAATCGCGGTCTAGAAGTTCTTGGTGTAGTTCCATATCGAAGGGATGATATTCACGATTAACGATAGAGTGCGTTGTACCACATTAGCTAGGTACTACTGCTACTGCCCTGGGAATTATTTTGAACTTGAAGTAAATTTTCCAATTCTTTTTCCTTATGGCTAGTGGTTGGGTTTACCATTTTTTCAGATTCAATGCTACCACTAGAATCGAGTTGTTCTATTAAACACCGAAGAAATTATCTAGCTGGTATATCGTCGGTATACAAGAGAAAGTCTAAATTTTCTAGAACTCAATTTGTATAAGTAAAATATTCAAAACGTAATATATCTTCATTTTTTTATAAATGAATTCCATAAGTTGATATTTTGCCATTGTTCAAGTCCATATGTAAAAAACTTACAAAGGAAAATGACCAAGTTCTCCCGATATCATTGCTCTGAAAC